TCGGGTTGAGACCCCGATCAATATCCATTTGAATTTGTATCAGTGCCACCTCATAGCGTTCAAAATTACTCGCCACTTTGTTTTATTACCGTACGAAAAAGCATTTTAAAAAAGACACTTTTAACATCAAAGGGAACGTTTTAAAAAGAAAATGTTAAAATAAACTACACGTGACAATAACTTTTAGTTTTTAACAAACAAAACGGAAAAAATAGATGAAATAAAACAAAAATTTCATCAAACAGGTTTAATCTCAGTCAAATAAATACAAACCAAATTCAAACAAGACATTAAAACTCGTTAATTAACTCAAATAACCCTGTTTACGTATTAAAGGTTTATGAGTAATTAAATTTCTGCAACATGTTGTGTTTAAAATAGTAGAAATGTTACGATTATACATTATTATTGTGGATGACTAAATCAGAAAATTACAGAAATATCTAAATCTGGAACGTTCCCTGAAAAAACATTATTGTTTCATGCCGTGGTGGTGGCGGTTATTTTACCAAGCGCTTTATGGCGTTTGTTGTGTACTTATACAGTAAGGGCCCAAAGGGCAAAAGAAGGTTATCGGTTCCCTTCTTGCCTTTAAAAAGTTTACTGAAGAAAACCTCAAGTTTTACGACATCCTAAATTTTAAACGGCTCAACGCTTTGAGATAACATTTTACACATCATAAAGAATTCCTATTTTATGGATATTTCTTAATGAATTCGATGAAAATCTTTATGAAGTTTTTATATCAAATTTTTTTATTGTAATCAATTTTAGTTAATTTTAATTTACTTCAACTTTATGTTGAACTTAACTTTCCTCATTCACACATATATGTTACATGAACACTTTTATTCCGAAGTACAGGAACATAATTTGTATTATTGTAAATTATTAAACTGGAGTAGGTAAGTCCATGATGATATTAGTAGATGATATTATAAAAGAACTATATTATATAGATCATCATCTATTCATATCAACTACTTAAAAATAGTTAATAAACCAACAATATTATTAAAACGTTTTTATTAATGTATTAATAAATTAATGTATTATATAAAACGGAAATTAATTTTGAATCAGGAATTGAAAAGAGAGGTATGGGGAAAGAATAATAAATTGTGATGTTAATATAGTTGTGCAAATAAACAAAAGCGCTAATACTATCAATATATTTCCGCGTCGCCAGCTAGAGATTGATCAGTTTCAATTTTCCATTAAATATATACAACAGCTACATTTAACGATTAAACGTTGACATATTAATTCTATTTTTCGGAAAATAGAACCACTAAACCTGAGGTGCTTGCATGTGACATCTATGAATAACAAAGACCAGGAGCTATAAACGAATTTATAAACCTGTGTAAAACCTATTATGACATACGCATTAAAGACATGAATGGATAATGCTACCGCAGAAAGTATACTCAGAACAACGGAGGTGAAGACACTAAAGTCATTAACAGAGTGATATACGATGTCCAGGATATTATGAGACCAAGTTGAACGTACCAAAACTACCAAAGATAGTCAAAGAAAGACTCTCAAGAGCAAACACACCAAGGAAGACCTTCTATACGATGATATGAAAGCTATTACTCAACTTCCTAGCATCAGCTATGAATAATTAAAAAATAAGACAGATGTTTTAAAGGAAGAAGAAGAGTAGGAAATCTTTTACATGTCTTAAAACATTTACAGGTTGCTAAAGCTTTATGCTTTAAGCTTTATGACATTAAGGTCAGTTTTATACTTCATACGGACTCAAACTTCGGTGATTTTTACGCATTTTAAGTTCCTGTTCGTTTTCAGTCTCTGCTTATTATTTATTATTATTATCTTTGTTTTGGGTGCAAAAAGCTTCTCGATGGTGGATTTAAGTTTCGATAAGATCACCAAGCTATTGGAATTGAACCTTGGTAGAAAAACAAGGGAAGCAATTTGTTGCTGATATTGCATATATTTTTTGATTTGTTTATATTTTGGTCATCACTTCTAAGATACTACTTCTGGTAGGAGATTTCAATCTTCATAAATTTTTTGGTAGTCTTTTATAACTTAGTTGATGTAGACTTGAACCTGATTGGTGTGGTAATTAGTTATAACAACTACATAATTATTGAAATAATTAAGTATAGAATCCCTCATTAAGTTTTTACGATTACTGTTCCAATTGGTTTTTCAAAATGCAAATGTTTTTTTAAATGCCAATGTAAAGAATATAAATTCTTATTAATATTTTTTTAACTAAATCTATAGGTAGAGTTTATTATTCACAAAATTCACACATGCAAGTACAAGTCTACCAAAGAAACTATCTTCTTCGCCGCTTTATTAGAATGCTGTTACTGGTACAAGATTAAATCTATGTTACATGCAAGAATTTTTCTACTTTTAAGCCTCCTGTGACTCTGACGTAAACTGACGTAACTGTCATACCGTCTTTTAGGGGCTCGTTTAGTGCCTTGTTTCGCTAACATGGTCCATTTGGCCAATCTATTCAGAGTTATCCTATTGATATGATCTCTCCATTCCCGTCGCCTGAACTGCGCATTCATCTCTTACTGTACTGCTCCTCACATGATCACGTAGATTGACCCGTCATATTGTTCTCAGTATCTTGATTACGATAAATTTTTTTATTCGCTTTGTTCTTTGCCGTATCTGCTCGTGTTCCTGTAGCATAAGTAACTTTAATTTCGGGCGATATATACTGAATTTTGTTATCCATTTCTGTTATGTGTCTCTATAAACTTGAGTGATAACCAAAAGTCACTGAAACGTCTTCTGAAATTTTATTCGATTCATGCAGGGTACTATCAGAGTACCATCAGTTCTTAATTATGATGTAGGTGCATATAATCGATTATTCTGTTTATTGTGATAACGCAATGGATTTCACAGATGTGGTTCCTGGCAGAGCATTCAAAAGTGTAACCACGAGGCAGGAGAGGAAGTCAACGTTAAGAAGAAAATTAACATCTATGCAACTAAAAACCAAACCCTGGTTTTGCAAATCTAATTGTTATCACTATCTTATATATTGATAAGTTATAATCATTGGGCACGTCATAACAACGAAAAGAAACTACCAACACAACAAGTGGGTGTACAGCAACAATATACATACAAAGAAGAATTAAAAACATTTCTTGGGTTACTGTTATGGATGGGATTGGTCAAAATAGTCTTATTGACTATTGCACCGGAAAATAAATGTGGAATTTAGTGATATCACGCAACACATTGTTTCTTAGAATATTTCAACTCTTGCCAATCCTAGCTTCATATAATACTAATTAGCTACAAATATTAATGTTACAATATTTGTTACTTTACTGCAACTTGTTATTATTAGAGTAATATTCAAGTAATACATTCCAAGCAAAGATCATAAATATGGCTTTATAGTTTTAAAGTTATGTACGTGAGATATTTATTTCATAATAACTGTGCAAGCTATGATTCGGCAAAATCTTTTTGCTGAAACAATTTACGTGGTTAGCGTTCTATGTCTTTACAAATGGCATAGTGCTACTAAATGGTAATAATAGTTTACAGATACAATAGTTCGATCAAGCGCAAAATAAGTTTTACATTCCTCAGTCTGGCCAAGCATCAGTGATACACAATAGTCCAATTACATCAACAGTCAGTCTTCATCTTACAAGCAGGAAACAAAACTTGATACACATTTGGTAATAGTAACATATAACAAACGCAGACACAACATCTATCTTTCAGAGCAACTGTCGTCTTCTGTCATAACGCATTGGAAAGGAGAAAAATGGTATAAGAAACTACTTACTATTACTTCTTGGAGTTTCAGTAGTCAGTTCAGGGTCATTTAGAAATTAGTGACATTGATAATAAGTGGGATATTATTTTAAAGAATATTTATCTATTTAGCATCAGATAGGCAGAGATTTTCAGAATGTGTGTCGGGGTTTCAAATGAAACACATGAAATTAATAAGACTATAAAAGAATGTATCAATTGTCGCTAACATTTGTATGATGTAGTCAACGCATTAAGGAATTTCTGTTTTCAAAATTTTTTCATTAAACATAGTTACGAATTTTTTACTTTTTGCAACCTAAACGGTTTCTAACAATGCTGTTTCAAATTGTTTAATTGAAGACAAAAACGTATTAAACCTTAACAAGGCAGACTTAAAAAAAATATTCTAAATTTAACAATCTTGTTAAGTTAATAATAACTTTTTTAATATCCATTGTAGGACAGTCTTACTATTTCCTAGAAATTTAAGTAAAAAAGTCTTCTTTTAGTTTTCTTCTCAAGTAAAACTTCCCTTGCTTTTTCACTTCACGTAGTCCGACTGTGAATAGTTTATCAGGACTTTCCGAGTGTTTTTCTTTTAAGTTAATCTCTTGAGATTAACATTAAAAAAAAAAGTTATTTAAAAAAAAAAGTTGTTGTTTAATATTTAAAAATATCTGTTTCTTTATTTCTTTTTGCCAAAATAATTAATGAATCGAAACGAATAATGTAATGTTTCTTGCAAATAGTAGCCAGGTGGGATTCATTTATTACTAACGAATCTCAAAATAGAATTGATTATTCCTTGAAATAAATTTTATAAATTTCTATTATACATAAACGTAGTATTCTATTTGGAAGATCGGAGTGGATTTTTGGTGTTTCAAGGACGATCGAACGAGGATCGCTTTAGAATCCTAGAATACATAGTAACAAATATTGAACTGGCGCCAAAAACATGTTCTGCACTTTATGGGCTTGTAAATTATCGACAAACCACTCGTAGATATAGGAATTGGTCGAGATAGAGAGCGAAGGAAAACCGAAATTAAAAGAAACGGCGAAGAAAAAAAAACATTATTATTATAGCTGAGGGCAATAAACGTTTCGATAGCCAATTAATCTATAACACGCGGTTGGTTTATTTTCTAAATACCGTAAAAATTTCTACGATATCCTGGTTAACACAATTAATTATTAAAAAAAAATCAACTTACCTTTTTGTCTTTCATAAGCATTTATACATTCGGACGTCATAAATTGACTGATTAACGCAGATTTTCCAACACCTTGCGCACCAATTAGAGCCACATCGTAACTTGTTATAGGAGTTTGATCAGTTTCTTCCATTTGTGGAATACCACATTGTGGAGGACACAAACTGTTACTTCTTGAACGTCTTCTTCTAAAAGAATCTCCTCTATTAATTATACCTGGAAATTAAAAAAAAATAGAATAAAAAAGAAATTAATATTAAAATGTTCTTAAATATTTTAAGGTCCTTCAATGGTCTCAAGTTTTAGTTAGTTTTTGATGAAGGTAATTATCGAAACTTTAAAATTAACCGGAGGATCGTCAGTAAAGGATCTTAAACGAAACTCTAAATTTTCCCTTTATTGAAAGTTTGGTTAATTAAGGGAATCTATTCAGGACTAGCAGCATAATTGCCTTAAAATACGAATTTATTTACCATTCATAAAACAAAAATGTTTTTATTTTAAATTGAATAAAAAATACTGCAAATTTATGTGGTTATATTCAATTACATACAATTTCATCATTATTTGCACGAATAAATTTCCATCTCGTTAAATGAATATTATTTACATCAAAAATTGAAAAGGTCGTTTTCAAATGTGACTTTTTTGTATACTAAATAGAGCATAAATATTTATATTTATTTTGTTCAAAAAGCGACACATATGTGAATTAATTATATCATATAAAAATCAGAATAATATAATTGAATTAAAGTTCTAATTTAAAAAAGAATGGGGTTATGGTGAATTAAAAGCAAATAACACATGGTAAAATATAGCAAGAACATCGAATATTATTTTTTTAACAATTGTTATTTATCTTGTGAATATACACTAATAAAAACTTTTTATCATTTTAAAGTACTATGATTGATTCTAACATGATGAAGAGGATGAAGAAGCATGTCATCAACTTCCAAATAATTTTATGTACAACTTACGATGTTCATAACCCATTTAACCCATAATATTATAATTAATGTACATATTATAGTGAATTAAAACTAAAACTAATACCAGACCTACTAACCTTAAGAAACAAATTCAAAGCGTTCAAAATATACTACTTGGCGCTGAATTACAATAATTAACGTAACACTATCACTAGAAGTAACACTAGAACTAGAACTAGAAAGTTTCGGGTTAATGCGTTTCTTAAGACGGCTAAATCCGGAAAACACACAGAGTATACAAAATGGGGATTGGAAATCGGTACTGAAAAAACCGCATGAATGTCTAATCCGCATGCCCAAGTGATATTTACATAGATGACAAAAGTATTGTATGTTGAATAAGATTAATATTAAATAAAATTTGTCAATTAGAATAATTTAAATACTATTAGTATTGACTAGTACTTTAGTATTGACTAGACGGAAATCAAAAACAGGGTCTATAAAGTCAGAAAAGTGATGGGTGCAATTAATACTATCTAGTGGGATAAAAACATTAATAGGAATAACAAGAAACTTATTGGAAAGACTATGAAATCCCCAGAACTGTACAGGGTGTCCCAATTTCGATGTCCCCATAGGCTATCTCCGAAACTAAAAGAGATAGAAAAAAAGTAGCTTACATGTCATGATCTCGTTTTTCGAGAAAATGCTAATGCCGAAAACTCCGAACAGCTATCGTCTTTTGTTTTCGCCCTATCGGCAAAAAGTGAAAATTTTGCGAAAACGACAATCGCGAATATCTCACTTATCAATGATGGAGTATTATAAATAAAACATTATATGGGCAACTTTTTACGAAGAATTCAGTGTAGGAAGAATTTTTTCCCATCTTTTATTTTCGAGATTTTAGACGTAACTTTATTTTTTTTAATGGAAACCATAGTTGGCTATGACCTAAAATAATTTATTTTCTTCTGATAACAAATATATATAGTTTGTTGGGTATATTTCTTATAGTTATTGAATAATTAACAAAAATGCATTTTGTTCCATCTAAAACTAATGTATATATTTAAAAGTTAATGTTGCTATGGTGATAACCATACATACATACTATGATGGAACATAATGTATCAATTTTTTTAGTTCTTTCTGAAACTATTGTATGTATTTAAAACTTAACTGTTGTTATGGTGATAACCATACCATGATGGTAAACATTGTTTCCAATTATTGCCAAAGTTTGTAGCAGTTTTTATAAATTCACTAACAACTCTGGCATTATGTGCTGGTGCTCCGTCATATTGAAAATATATCATTTGAGACATATTTAATGGCAAATTCTCGACCAAAGGCTCAATATATATAAGGCTTAATATATTGAAGTATTTACATTAGTTTAAGTTTTTATGGTAGATACTATATGCCAAAATTCTATTATCTAAAAGGGCACACCATACATTGAACCCTAATCTTCTTTGAACACTCAGAGACTTCATCGGTCCAGATGACATTTTGAACAAACAGCAGATTATTTAATTTTTCTAAATATCATCTACAAAATTCTAATCTTAGATTGACATCTCCGGCATGTAAATAATAAGTTAGCCCCGTTTTGTATGGTTTATACTTATTTTTCTTTCACATTCGGGAGCAGCGGCTTTTGGGTCAGATGTCTTGTTCAATTTCTCTGCAAGATGTTGATGAATTTATTACAAGTGAAGCCAACACATTGACTTCATCCTCTTGCTAAAATCTATTAAGTTTTCTGCTAACCGGCTGAAGGTTCTTACGTGCGGTTGTCTTCTTTCCGGATACCTTGTGAAATATAATTGCGTGGCTAACGTTGCATTCTTATTTGATAACATATAGCATTCCATCATGTTACAGTTTTCATAATTTTCGAAATTCATTGTAAAGTTTTATTCAGTTTTGTTACACTTTGACACTTAACATCCTGGTGCTTCATACCAGCACATAATGCCAGAGTTGTTATCGAATTTTTAAATACAAACTTAAGCAATTATTTGATACATTATGTGCCATCTTAGTATGTATGGTTATCACCATAGCAACATTAACTTTTAAATACATACATTAGTTTTAGATAGAACAAAATGAATTTTTGTTAATTATTCAATAACTATAAGAAATATACCCCACAAACTATATATATTTGTTATCAGAAGAAAATAACAAATTATTTTAAGTCATAGCCAACTATGGTTTCCATTTAAAAAAATAAAGTTACGTCTAAAATCTCGAAAATAAAAGATGGGAAAAAAATTCTACCTACGCCACTGAATTCTTCGTAAAAAGTTGCCCATATAATGTTTTATTTATAATACTCCATCTTTGATAATAAGTGAGATATTCGCGATTGTCGTTTTCGCAAAATTTTCAGTTTTTGCCGATAGGGCGAAAACAAAAGACGATAGCTGTTCGGAGTTTTCGGCATTAGCATTTTCTCAAAAAACGAGATCATGACATGTAAGCTACTTTTTTTCTATCTCTTTTAGTTTCGCAGATAGCCTATACGGACATCGAAATTGGGACACCTGTACAAGCTAAGGCGCCAACAAATAATTACTAAACTTATAATTCTTAATATTAATAATCCTCTCCATATTTTGGAGAGAAGACATGGCAACCATATACTTAACAAACGATTGCAACCCAACCCATCACAGAAAATTAATCGGCGATTTTCAAGCTGGTTTTAGAAAAGAACGCTCCTCGTGGTCCTCAGTAAAATAAATCTGAGCAAGGATTGGGAACAGGACATAAATGTATACAGCGTTTTCGTTGATTTCAAGCAAGCATATGACTCCATCAATAAGAAACGACACTACCAGATACTATACAGCTTCTGCTTTCCCTCCAAATATTTCCAATTAATAATTGCTACTATGGATTTAACAATGGCGACAGTTCGTATACAAAATGATTTAACCGACGTATATGATATAAATAAAGGGCTAAAACTAGTAGACGGGCTGGCTCCGCCATTGTTTAACTTGGTCCTTGAATATGCCAAATGGATGTCGGGAAAATAAAGTAACTAATAAATATATCCATACAAATAGCAGCCTATGCCGACGATATTAACATCATGTCTCGAAGGCCAAACGACGCGGCAGATGCCTACACACAACTTAAAAGAGAGGCTAAGAACATCGATCTTGAAATAAATAAACAAACGACGAAAATACTAACGCAAACAAAAACAGGAAAGAATGTAAATGAATGAAACAATGGAAAACAGGAAAAAATGTAAAGGATTTGAGGAACTAGAAATAGAAAATGGAATGATGACCATGAATAGAAGTTATTTTGCCTTTTTGCATTAAACCTATACTATGTTATGGATGCGAGCGATTATGACAGAGAACACGAAGAATATACTGGAACTATTTGAAAGAAAAATAGTGACAAAAATTTTTAGTCCAATAAAGCAAAATGGGATATGGAGAAGGCGATACAACGAGGAACTTAACTTATTCACGATAGCCCATGTCTCAGAATTCGTCAGCGAGGATAAAATGCCAAAAAGGCTCTTAAGCAGCAGGATACAAGGAAAAAGACTACCACATTACATTACATTGCATAAATCATATATCGGGTAGGCGGACCAATCAACCTTGCACCGCAACCTCAAAGATTTATCGAAACCGATAGATAACATTATCAAATTTTATGTCTTGCTCGGTGAAAAGTCATTCAGATCCTTTGGGGATATAAATTACAACCCAAAAATCGAGAATATGATACGTTTAACAGCGGAACAATGGCATAAAACATGCTCAACCGTCTCCTCGTCCTCCGTATATAGTCGGCATTCAACATCGTCAGCTAGGACCAACAAACTGAGGTATCTCTCATTCCAGGAGAACTGGTTCACACTAGGCAAAGTCCTTGTTCAGCGCACAGTCCAATCCTATGTTTGGCCATCGCAAAAGATCCACCAACTGCTGGCTCTAGCCCCACACACGCTTTAGCGCTGCCTTCTCATGCTAGCTCATCTGTCTCTTCATTGCTAGCAACCCCAAAGCGACCTGGGATCTAGATCAGAGAAACTCTGTTATCACAACTCAGTGTGTTTAAAGTTCTTTTATAGTAATTGGCCAGACCCGACACCGTTTTCTTGACTATCTGAGAAAAATCGTATTGTCATGTTCCTCGCTCCTCTCTTAAGAAGGATTTTAGCACCCATGTCGATAGCAAATACTTTCGCCTGGAATAAAGTACAGTGTCTGGCAGTATACTCCTGCCCAGACC